TTAAATAATGTTTAGGTTAGCCCCCCCCCCCCCCCCCCACGTGTCACAGCGTCATGTCTACGGACTTACCACGCTAGAAACCGGGTTTCGATACCCATGGTGAGCAGAGCACAGCCCATTGTGTAGCTTTGTGCTTAACTTCAAACAAACAAACTGTTTAAGTTAGTTTATCGTATAGTTGAATACCCAGTGGTTTTATTTGATAAATGATTCATGATTTTTTCAGTAGTTTCATTGTTATATTTTCTTGAACTGTCATGTTAAAACTGAAGCGATGTGAATAACATTTTCTATTAACAGGTAAATTGAAAGAAACTTTATTAATTTTTGTTAATTTCTAACAGCAAACTGGTGAGTGCTGTTCTATTCTGAAATTGTTCATTTCAAATATCTCACAAGCCAATCTTTACGACGTAAAAAACAGATTTCTCTAATCGAGCTGAAGAGATGCTGCTCACAAGTCATCTAACAAATAGTTTTACGTCGTTTCTACAGAAGCATTTCTGATTCTAGGCCACCACCAAAGAACTCCTCTTGACAACACCTATAGCTTGACAAAAGTGACATCTATGGGCTAAATAAAGAACTTTTGTCGTGAAGTTCGTTACAGTATTTTCTTGAAAGGAATCAGGAAATCCCAACGTTCAAAATGGCCGTAACGCTTGATCCCAACGCTTTCTTCCAATGGATGTCATGTTTTCAGAACTTTTCCGAGATCAACAATACAGTGTGTGAACCGTATATGCCCACGACTGATTACCAAGCTCCCTACTACGGTGACCAGATGGCCGAGTTCAGGGCTCGATACACCGAGTTTCATGGATACCTAAGTTTGACGGTTTGTACCTTTGGTATAATTACTAACATCTTAAACATCGTTGTACTAACAAGAAAAGACATGATGTCACCAACTAACACCATTCTGACAGGATTAGCAGTGGCGGATATGTTTGTCATGCTATCCTATGTGCCGTACAGTATTCATATGTACATAAGATCTCATCAGTTGGCTAACGAGAGATATTCCTTTTCCTGGGCAGTATTCACCCTGATACACGCTCACTTGACAGTGGTGTGTCACACAGTTTCCATCTGGTTGACAGTTACGCTTGCCATGTGGCGATTACTTTCCATAAGCTTCCCAACCAACAGCAAGAAATGGTGCTGCATGTTTCGTGCTAAATGTGCAATACTCTGTACGTACGTGTGCTGCCCTCTGTTCTGTGTACCTACCTATCTTACATTCACCATTCGGGAAGATGGCAGAGGCACAAATAAGTACACGGTGACCTTTAGCGATTCGGCGGTAAGGCACAATCACTTGCTAGAAAGGGTCAACTTCTGGATCTTTAGTGTTTTAATGAAACTTGTTCCATGCATTGCCCTCACTGGTTTGAGCCTAGCACTCGTCCGCGTTCTGTACGTTACTAACGTCCGAAAGCATCGACTTAAAAATAGGAATACCTCTTGCAAACCAACAACAGACAGAACAACAAAGATGTTACTAGTTGTACTTTTAGTTTTTCTGTTAACCGAGTTCCCAACAGGGATACTCGCCTTGCTCTGTGGCATTCTGGGAAAAGTTTTCTTTGTTAACGTTTACCACAACTTAGGGGAGGTGATGGACATCATGGCGCTGATTAACAGTGGTGTAAACTTTATCTTGTACTGTACCATGAGTCGCAAGTTTCGCCAAACTTTTGCTCGGATTTTTAAGCCTAATTTTCACCATACGTGGATTGCCATGCCAAAGGAACCGGCAACCCTGGCTACAAGTGTCTTGTAAAAAACAAAATTGAAAGATAAATTAACAGAAAACCGAATGTTATGAGTTGTTAAGCATGTCAAAACTACACATGCATGTTTTAATATCAAGTTTCTTCATGTGTTTTACGTATGTATTAGACACTTCCAATTTCGAAACCAATAAAAATAAAAGCAATAAAAATAGAGCCGAATTGTCCAGTCTTTAATGTTTCCTCATACTACACAGTATTCAGTATAACAAAAAATACAACACATTTGTTGATTGTTTAGCACAAAGTTAAACCAATGGGCTTACTGTGTTTTAGCCACCATGGGACAAACTATAACAAGAAAGAAACTGCCCTTTGTAATGGTTGTCACCAAATACAAATCTAGTCAATGAATACTAAAGCAACCATGCATTTTCTACATTTGAAACTCCGTAATTGCATCAGTATGAATGTTTAGCTCCATGAACAAAAATGAAAAAACAAGATCTATACATTTGTAGGTCAATGTTCGCTTCCAACTTTCCCCACGAGTCAGCTTACAGCGTAAGGATGTGTATAAGGTAGGCAGCAGAAATACCAATAAAAAAAAACAAAAAAAAACAGCTAAAAATGCAGTCTAAAAATATATATATTTTGAGGGGAAAGAAGGAAACTTTTTTTTGTATCTAATTTGGCTCAATACTTAGTCAGGATTAGTTGTGTTGGTATAGGTTAAACAAAAAATGTGATTTAAAATATTTAAATAAAACGTAGAATAGGATATTCTGTTAAGAGTGAAAACAGGAATTAAAAAACTATATTACTAAAATAACTTGGAACATATAACTATCCAATTGTGTTGTTTTAAATGGAAATTTGAAATATCATGATATTTACATACACGTATACCACTGCTTTATGTTCATTAAACAGTATCTCAAAGAAAGTTCTTCACTACAGTTCCTATAATTTTTACAATTTAAAATAAAATTCACTGAGGTTTCCAGATTTCCAAACGTTTGGTTGTTGTTAATCACTGAGCTACACAATGGACTGTGCTCTGCTCATCACAGGTATCTAAACCTGAATTTTACCGTCATAAAATTTACCACTGAACCATATTAATACACAGGCAAGTTAACAAATTTGAACTTATTTGTTGGTCATTTATAAATTCATAGTCAGACTTATTGTATATGAAATTGTCCTATGTTGACCTTTGCTACAAAACACAAACTAAAAGTCACAGTTTGAAGTTTAAAATTTCATCATTCTGTCTTTTCAAGTTGTACTGTTTGTATAATTATTGTTTTTGATCCAATATAGTAAATATATTGTCACAATAACAAACCAATATTATGGAACACAACACTTATTAAATCTTGATCTATTTTTTTTAAAAACACCCAAACCTTATCCTAAATAACATTTATTATATAGTACAAAAGTTGAACACCAAATCATCTGTAATATCAAAGTTAAATCAGTATTACTTCTTTAAATAAACATTATCTCAAACCACAAACACCACACTTTCTTCGACATCACTGTTCGCAATTAATTTTTGAAAGGATTAAAAACGTATGACTTTCTGATGTATTTATCGAGAAACTACTGAGATTGTGAGAATTACCTTTGTTTTTCTTCAACTACTACCATAAATCAAAGCATTTAATGATGTCTTTGGACAAATTGGAATAGTAAATCAGAAAAAGACCAAATTAATAGGGGTAATATTGTAAGTTCCTGTTTCATGGTCCGAGTTGAAAACAGGTGTTTTCTGTAAACTTAAAGCAGGATCTAAGAAAAAATATTAAATATACAGAAAACAAATTTAAATAGGTACTGGTATGGTTTCAGTGTGAGCACTAACTCATCGTTTAAGATTTTTTTTAGCAGGTGGAGTATTTAATTATTAAACATTGTCACACATTTAAAAAAATTGTTATAGTAAGTACTGATAAGATACAAAGCTTTATGAACTTTATCTAAAGATTAAGCAGTTTGCTTAAGGTCTCAAGCCCAGGTGGACATCGGAAGTTTTTAGCTGTAGTTGTGTTGGCTGTGCAATTAGCCTAACATGTGCCGTTGACTAGCCACTTTTGAACATAAACTTTTGGCTTAAACAGCTTTGTTGAATAACCCACCAGTTTCATCAGTAAGAAACCTGAGTGCATTGAGCTGATGTTCCAATTTGTTTTTAAAACAAGACCACAGTACATGAAGACGAGGATATTCCTACCACCCCTTATTTTCCCCTTTTAAGCATTGCTCTGACTCGTAATAATATGGAAGGAACAAACTTGTAAATATAATTTTGTAACAATACCTGAAGAATATGTATTTTAAATTTATTGAGAATTTCTACACATATAGCCTTAGAAAGGTAATATTTCAATTTCTGTATTATTTTTAAAAACTTTTTTTTTTTCAAGGTAAGAAAGAAAATTTGGTAGATTATTCCCAAAACTTTTAAAACAAGCCAAGAACCTC